TTGGGGTAGGTACATAGTCCTTGATCAGTCACTACCCACACACGCCACTGTGATTCTCAAAGATGAAGAGAAGAAGAGAGATGATGTTTGATGGTACAAAATATTAAAGACACCAAAGGATCACTGATTCAGATGCCATATGTAGCCCCCTTTAAAGTCTACAGTGCTTTTGGCATCAACCATCCATTTCTCCCTCGCTTGCATCGCTATTCATCCCTTTCCACTCTGCTTCACTCCATATGTCACAGTATGTCTGGGAACTGAGCAGAGCCCTGTGGAGAAATGAGGGCAAAGACCTCCTGACTCATTCTAAATGTGTTTGAAATGAAACTAAATGAAAGACACTGCTGATGTGGCTTTCCTGTGAATGCAAAATATGTTACTCATGGTTGCAAAGAGTGAGGGCAAATTTATTTTTACCAGATATGAAATCTCTAAGCTGACTCTGCATTTTAACCTTCATAAAATGTCGCCTTGCTATATGTATGGTTTACCTATGCAAGGCCTTCCTACTGCTACCTTTACCTCTAGATAAAATAAAGTAAATTAAACAATATCAAAGGAGTAGTTTGACATTTTTAGACTTTTCTGGCCAAAAGTTAGATGCCTGAGCAGTCAGTTGTCTTAGCTTAGCATTAAAAAGTGGAAGCAGAAGAAACTACATCAGCTTCTTTAGAGGTGAGGTGGGCAGTTATGTACTGTACCAGATGTTTACCTTTGAGCAACTGCCAGTTGACCAGTGAAGATTCCACGAAGTTACTGTGCTGAGTACAAAACAAAAGTGGCCAACTGTCATTTTACACTTCAGTTTCTGTACAACTTTGATTAATGAGATGCGGATGCTTTGGTAGGCAGATTTTGCCATCCTCCGCCAGAGCCAGTGGAGTTGTTTCTCCTAAGTTTCTGGTCTTTGTGCTAAGCTACACTAGCCAGCTGCTGGCTATAGCCTTATATTTGATGTGGTTATCAGTGGTCTCATGTAACTGCCTAGAAGCAAATAAGCATATTCCCCCAAAAGTGAAACTCTTTCTTTACCGACACATTTTCCAATTTAATCTCAAATCCAGTTTTGCTGCAGTTTCAGTCCTTCTCTCCTCCATCCCCTTCTTCTCTCTCAATAAAGAGATACCACAGAGTTCAACCTGGGAACAGCAGAGTGTAGCAGCTGACACAGGGAACCTGATCCCTGGGCTTTCCAGCAGCACAGCTTGTGCACTGCAGACATTCCTGGCACACAGGGGTCATCATATCTTCCATCCTTCGACCTCAGCTCATGCTCCGTTTGCATCCACATCTTTCTTTTCCATTAATAGTTCAGGTGGGGAAACACATTGCAGAGATGTATTTTTCTGTCCTCCCAGTCATTTTGTCAACATGTATCCTCACTGTCCTTTCCTCCTTGTTCTTTCATTTTTATAATCTTTTCTTATTCTCCTTCTCTGCAGCCTTCTTCCATTGCAGAAATGTTGTACTTGCAGTCAGCGACAGACTTGCACATGGAGCACCACAAGCACATTAAGCCACACATAACTGAGTTGTCCTCTGTTTGACCAGCTACTGTAACAACCAGACAGGGGTCAGTGTTTGGATGGCACATGCATGGTCTCACCATCTGTATGTCCTACTCCAGAATTCACAAGTCCTTGCAAAAAGCTGTTCTAACAGAGCCGCTGAATTGTAATTACTAAAACCTACCTGGAAAGTACAGAAACCCGATGCTTTCTAACTGTCCAACAGTCATTGCTATGGTTACTCACACTAAATTGGTGTTTTAGTTATTTTGGTCAGTCACAATGTTATATTTTTCAGAAAGTCCCAACAGGTCTATACAGGTGTGACACATCTATTTATAACCAAAAACTGTGCACCTATTTACCCTGGTGTGCTGCTACTCCAATCTCAATATGGCACTCACTGCTGGATGAGTTGTTTAACATAGTTGATATTAATCACATTCATGAACCACTAATCTAGTGCTGAAATGCATTAAAAATACGCAGTGCTGGAAGTCTGGAAAGGTTATTCCAAGGGAAAAAAGCATTCAATTACCAAAACCACTGATGATTTTGATCACTGAAGGCACTTGCAAACCTCATCTGCTCTTCTGATCTATGGGCCAACAGTAAATACAACACACACAAAATAAATTAATAAATAAAACCTAATAATAATAGAAGTAAATTAAGCTGTCCTGGGAACTCTTAAATGCCACTATATGACAGATTTTACCATATACTGCCATGCTAGACAATGTGATGCTACTACTGCAATTTAACATAAGGTTCACCTCCATGAATACCAGCTTAACATGAAATTGCATAACTTGAAGTGTCCCTAAACGCCTCTTAGATGAGATCATTCAGTCAGCCTATTTGCCTGCAGCATCATGCCAAAGTGTGTAGAGATCTGTGAATCTGGCTCAAGAACAAAGGGGACATTGGTACGAGCATTCAAGTATAGAAGAACACTAGAGAGGCAAAAACACAACAAAACTGTACTGTACACCCTCAAAGAGCAGACTCACCTTCCAAATAGACAACCTTGTTGGCTCCCTCAGCTCTGACGTGTGATGCACAAATACCGTATCCAGTCCAGTGTCAGGCAATCAATGAACAACCACACAAATCCTGGGCTGAGACAAGCTGAAGTAACACTCCAGCTCTGGTGCTGCTCTCCTCCTGGACTGAATCAGCGTGTGCAGCCCTGACTGAGTTAGCCGAGGCTCAGACAAGTTGTTAAAAACTTTCCCTTCGCTGCTTGCACCATTTACATGCTGAGAAAATCTCTGCTGTGGACAGGATGGCTGTCGCAGTCAGCACAGTCACACACAGGGGAACATTACACCCAGACACATATGCACCCGCATGCAATCACACACACACACTCTCGTAATACTGCAGCCTATGCAGTCCTCACTCTGCCAGTCATCCCTGCTGTGGAGACGCTGGTACTCAGTCTGAGAAGACCGTGTGTGTATGTTTGTTACAGAGAGTAGGAGGAGGGAGGAGATAGAGGGGGGAAGTGTGTGTGTGTGTGTGTGTGTGTATATGTGTGCAAGAGAGCATGTTTGAGGAAGTCTTAATATGAGAGCTCTGGCTGAGCAGTGCTCTCATGGTGCAGCTGACTTTCTCTTGTATTTGAGATTGCACACAAGCAAGTGCGGTAGCTGTTCTTAAAAACTTTCCACTCTTTCAAAATAAAGCTAACTTCTCCAACATTCATAATCTAGAGTATGAATGCTGAATTTTCCAAACATTATTTGAGTAATTCTACATCCAAGCACAAAAGCCGCCCCAGTTTCACAGTGTCACCAAGATGACATACACAAATGACTGTGTGCATGCAGTTTGACAAACATTTATTCAGTGACTGTGTCCTCGCTGTGGTGTACACCCAGCTGTATACACACCAGTGGAAAGTGCATCTTGTTTACCTGGGAGTGGTCTGCTATTTCTTCCTACTGCAGTTTCATAGTGATTCCTTCTGAAAAACTTGCTTGAAGAAGAGCATTTTTTATTTTTGTTTGAAGTACAGTATATAAAAATAACATTAAATGTGTATGATAAATGCACATAATATCATTGATAAAGTGTGTGTGAGGCATTTGTGAGTTCACTTCCTTTTACAAACTGAGAAAATCTGACATGTGCATGCCATTCCTGAGCACATTCATGCAACCGCTGAACTTCTTGCCTACTTCTAACAACCTGTTTAACCACCAGACATGGATGATTTACAGTATAATAAGACAAAGAGCAAGAAAAGCTGCAAAGATATTAATCTCTTATAGTGATTACAATGATTGGAACAGTAAAAATGACATTTAATATACAAAAAGATTTCACTGGACAACAGAAATATGCAAGGCCTTCCCAAAGAACTGAAAACACAGTGAAAAAGCATCTTAACATGAAAGAATGAAAAATGGAGAAAGGAGGATGAGGTCATTTTTAATGATGTTATTTAAAAAAAAAGTAAAAATGCATTAAGAATCAAACTACCTACCACCATTTAAATGTCTAACATGCAGGCCTCAGAGTACTATTACCACAGACAAATACAGCACCAACTTGCATGTATCCCTGGTACATGTCAACCACATCCCCTGGTTCTGGAAAATGTACTCATTACTAAGGGAGCAAAATTCTGATCTATATGGGAGGCAGCTGATGTGTCAACAGCAATTACCTCCTCAGAATCAAATTATCAGGATGAGAATTAGTTTATTTACAAAAGTCACAGACAGCACATGGGAACGGGGGCACATCTGACCGGTGTGGTCTGTACTGTGATATGATTCTAGAGCTGGTTCAATAAGGTGATGGAGTTTCACTGCAGCAGTGTTGAGTGTGGAGCAGGTGATGTCAGCAAACAAGATCCTGGCTGAGTTATTGGGTCAAGTGTAGGGTCTGGCTGAACACATCATCTACTTGTATTGATCTGTTTGATCTATAGGTGGACTGAGCAGTGAAGCAGGAGTGAGGTCTGAGTTGATGAAAGACACTGTGACATCTGAACCACTTATTACCATTGATCAAAGAGGCAACTGCAGTACATGAATCCTCCAAAGCCCCAAACTGCCACTGATTGCACAAACCACGTGATCAGATTTTTGTCCGGATGTTTACCTGGTTCTCTAGTGCAGAACTACATGAGACAAGTCATCAGAATCTAACAGGACACACTGCATGATGGCATATTTGCAGCTGCAACAATTAGATGTGTGACTGTTTTGTTACAGTACATTGTAACCATCAGAACACATGAGGACACATGAGGAATTTGACTCTGGTACAGTGGCTCTAAATATGATTGTACAATGTTCCTCCATAAAGCAATGAGTAGACAAGTAAACAAGACTGAGAACAAAAAAAAAGAAAAAGAATGTTCCTGATATTTCTGACCTCTGACACTGCAAAATGAGGTGTAGCCTTGCAAAAACTCTTCCCAACTGATGGCCTGAGTGGCAGCGTGTGCAGTTTAGTGATGTGTCGATTGGATATATGAGCTGATTTCTTAACATGAATGATGGAAGATGGCTCCCATCTGACAGCCAATTCCTTTTTTATTCCTTTCTACTTCTGTTGATTAATACAAGACAGAATAATTGGTGATCTTTTCACTACACTGCTTGGCCACAGGCACTCCATGCTCTGAATGAATGTTGTGTTGATGTGTGTCCAGCGAGACCAATTACATATCATCAGGTAAAAAGGGGTCAGGGAGACAATCACAAGCACAAGAGCACAAAGAAATCTCTATGTTTTGGATGGTTTCTTATTATTTTATTAGATTCTTTTTCATTTGATGTGGACATCACAGTAGCATTGGAATTCTAACATAAATGTATACATTAAGGACCAGATGCACTGTGTTTAGTGTTTGTAGTGAAATGAAAATGTACAGTGCTCATTATAGATGATAATTATATAATGATATTCACTTTAACTGGCCAAGTATGTTACACACAAAGAATTTGCCTCCACTACAGAACAAAACCTAAGAGTGTTTGATGGTTTTAAATGAATATTTTATACCAAAACTAATGCAAACTTTTGGTATTCTGGAAATTACTATAGTTACATTGAGCAAGTTAAGGGATATACGGGCACAGATACCAATCGTAGCTCAAAACATTGCTAAATTTGCCTGTATTATAAAAGCCAGAAGTGGTTTGGGAGCCAGCTCTTATTGCTGATCTAAGCCAAATGATCTGGCTCATTAAAAAGAGCTGGGATTCCTATCACGAGTAATTTTCTCCTCTGACCAGCTACTGTGACCTATGGTTCCTCATATGCAGTAACCATTAGAGACACTTTTTGCTCTTTTATACTCTTTGTTACTTTTGTTGTTGTATATGATTTTTCTTAAATTGAAACATCATGTAATTAAAAGGGAATTGTAAATATTTTTTGTGTTATTTGCATATGTGAAAAATATTTATATTCAACAGTCAACTGGGAGAAAATCATAAAACTTGTTTCTTACAATAAGCCACACAGAAGATGGGTTGTCTAGGTGTCACCAAACATTCTCAGGCTCTGAGCCACATGTCCTCAGCCATCCTTCAGCATGTTTTATTATATTTGCAGGACAAGGAATGCTGAACATGAAATACTATGACCTTGTGATGTACGAAGTGGCCATCTGTAAATACACTAGAGCTGCATCCGCTCCTGTGAGACCCTCTAGGGGACCTTATCTGACAGGAGATAACTCATAAGGTTAAAATGGTTGAATCTTCACAGTGGAAGCCTCTGGGAATTAAAATGTTTGCTATGGGTCTGCTGTTCTCATGGCCTTTGAATCAGCCATTTTGGACAGTTGGTGACTTCTGGACAGATAAAGAAAACTACCGGAGGCCCACACAGACAAGAAACAGCAGCCTGAGATTACAGGGCTCACTTATTTTAATTATATGCTTTTAGGACATCTACTGTTGCCATTGACCTCAATGGAGACAGAAAAAATGCAGTGGAAAGGTCATGTGTCCTCCTGACCTACTGACCGTTGTTTTGAAAGACATGTCCACACTACTGTAGATCCATGTAAACACGTCTACCTATTACAGATTGATCTGGTCCTGGGACACCTTTTCTTTCTTTTGTCTACATTGAAATGAAAAATCCACTTAACCATGACTTCCATAAGCTGCATCTCTTAATCTCTACATACTGTATGCCATTATGATACATGACTTATCTGTTGCATAAACAGCTATATACTGGCATGGTAATGACTCTTGATTTTCAGTCTTCAGTTGTTTTGTTTTGCTATTATTTATTATTTCCTACCACAATAGCTTCCATCAGATAAAGTTGATCTTTCCTTGAAGGACAACAGTGGTGTAAGTGTTCCTCCCCACCAAAGACCATTTCTCATTGTTTTTCTTGATGCAACATTGCTCTCTGGTGGTGACTTTTGGGCAAGGAACTTTAACAAATTTCCACATACAGTACCTGTTTAGCTCTAAGGAAACAGAGACTTTAATAGTGATCACATTAATATATTATTTAGAAAATGTATATGTATGATGATGTGTGTCACTGTACTGTAACAGCAGCATATCATTCACTTTGGGTGAATGCTATAAAGCAATATATCAGACATATTTTAAATCAACAGACCAACCAAACCAAATTAAGACAATTTAAGTAAAATCTCAGACTTATGCTTTTGTCAACACTTCAAGACCAAACTGGAAAATCAATGCAATAGCATCAATGTGCCACTAGAGGTCCCAGTGTCTCACCAAAAAGAAGGCACTCAGGAATGAGTTGTACACATTTCAAAAATCTAGTTTGTGATACATTTCTGTTACTTATGAGTATGTTTTCACAGCTCCAAAAGTTCTGCTTTTTACTCAATATAATTTATTTTGTGTGCTAAAATCGTTCTTTAAAGTGTGATAACAATAGGATTTAGTTGAAATATACAAAGTGTGTTACAAGGTTTGATTAAAAATGACCATTCTATACATGCATGTAAACTGACATTTTTAATATTCTCTATATATTTAAACCGGTCACCTCATCAGCTCCATCGTAAATGCTTTAACTGCCCAACAAAATGCTTCAACTAGTCACTGTACTGTAATTCCACCAAAAATCTAACAGGAAACTACACTTAAAGTTGTATGACTGCACATAGAGACGATCTGACAGTTATGCAGAATCTGGATTATTATTATTTTTGACTGGAAACTAAATCTAACATGCTCCGTAGTCTTGTGTGGTCATTGATAATAAACCTGTGATGAAGAAAAAGACTGTCCCTCCAGGGGTCAGCAGTCCACCTGGTTGCTGAGGTCAAGGCTCCGGCCACTTGTGTCACTACTGCCAGTTTGCTGCAGAATGTTTCTGATAACCACAAAAAAGAAAAAACCTGAACCATAGGAGCCAAAGCCAAAGACGTCACTAGTCCGACTGGATGTGAGCATGTATTTCTTGTTACCGTTAATATGTCTCAGTTTTGATACCTGCTAGTGAGCGCAATCAGTCGCATCACTTCATTTCCTTCTTCACAGTGTTTGTGTGTTGCCTGCAATAAGCCTTGTCATTCCACGGCTACAATAAACAACCTGTTGAGACTGGGCCAAACTGTAAATACCACAACATCTATTTGCAGTAAATCAGTGTTATTTACTACTTCGTTCACGCACCTTTGTTTCTGCAGAGACGGCAGTGACGTGTTCAGGGAGTCAGATAAAGGGTATTTCTCACCAATGCTTTCCTGTTATTTTCCAGGGCCCTTTGTTTGGTTGCGAGGCCTCGGCTTGTCAGTTCTCAGGGGAATGAGAGGAACGTTTGAGCCTGAACACTTAAGAACAGGCTTCGTACACAGACCGCTCCCATCACTGTGTATGAATTTCTGTGTATTTGTGAGAGTGTCACCTTGTCCTTGGTTTAGGGGAATTCATCCCTTTGGCAAATTCATGTCTGTTTCAGGGAACTTGGACAATTATGTGATATGAGCTCTGCAGATTGGGGAATTCATTCATTTCAAAATACATTTATACATTTAGTTGAAATGTCAATAATAATAAAATAAGGAGAAAAAAATTCTACATTAAATCAAAGTTGATCCTGCAGATTTTGTAGTTTCGAACAAAAATGTATTGTTTTCCTCATAACATTTATCTTTTTAAGCCTTTGTTTCTCACTTTACTGAGGAGTTCACTTGAAAATAAAATAGTTCATACTTATAGAATATCTTCTCGTCACTTTTATTTTCTGATTTATAAGTACATTAAAGTTATTTCAAACTTTCAGGGACAGCTTGCTTGTTGACACGTGTTTAAGTGTTGAGCTTACACTTAAATAACAATTGAATAATGTGGAAAGGAAGTGTAACTCCCGAGAGGAGGACGGGGCCTTTGCATTTGTGTCACTTTTGGAGTGTCACTTGAAAAATTCCTGCCCTGGGCAGACACAACAACAACAGGAAGAAAGGCCATTTTCACAGGTGTCAGGAAGCACAGGAAATAAACAAGCTGAATACTGGAAAACATTTTTGTATCAGTAAGAGTCAGAGGTGAGGCTAATAAGGGATATTTTTAGCTGGGACAGGATTATTTCAGAATTTAGTTTGAGCTGGTTGAAATATTTTTGATTCCCATCAGATGTTTTGTACTTTAATGCTGCCTGGTGAGGAACAGAGAGAAACACCGTCTTCTGGTAACCTAGGGCCCCTTTTCATGTTTAATAGTGAATGACACTGAACATTCACTGGAGTTCTGTGTAGAGTTTGAATCAAACTCTTTAGTATGTTCACAAAACGTACCATAAATCCTTAGAATGCATCAAAGGAAAGTTTCCAGTGATCGCAGCTCATTATGTAATAGTATGATTTGGTCGTTAACAAATTTACATTCAAATTAAACCTGCTTGTTGTGTAATTTAACTTACTGTAAATAGACTTAGACCTCAGATACAATTTCTTAATTTATTAGAAGCCTGTTCTTTGTGAAGATATGAGTACTTTTCATTCTACTCTTAGACAAAGTGTAGAATATCACCATACTGCTCAAATACAAAATAAAGGCATCCAATCTGACCTCTCAGGAAAATTATTCACTTTCCTATAAAAGTTGAAATTCTCAGTAGGGCTGAGAAAAGAGTCCAAAGACCTTCATGAATGGTTTCCTGCAGTAGGGGAGTTCTGTTACATGTGCTTCTCAAAGAACACCGACAAATGTCACAACGTTTAAATCCTTTCTGTTTATGATTTTTTTTTTTTTCAATACAGCTTTATAGACAATGCTTAGTGACAGGGAGATGTTTTCTGCATTGGAACAGAGAATATTTTGACATTTGTGGAAGTAGGATATTCCACAACTTAAGAGTCAAGGACTTTTGAAAAATTCTCATGATCCTGTGTCTGAATTTTCACCATTGGAAACAGGACTCTGACAAGAGTGTTTCCTCATCAAAACATATACTTCAGCCCAGACTTTTTAGTACTTCTCCACTGCTCAGAGAAGCTTTTTCTGCCTGCTTTAAAATAAAGTAAGAACATCTATTCCAACATGGTCCTGCGACATACAATAAGTTGCCATGACATATAAAAAAACATTTCCTATTTTACCTAAAAGCTGTCCCAACCTCTGTAGGCCTTCAGTAGAGGGGCTTGAGCAAAGTATTCTGAGCATTAGGAAAAAATTGTAATAAAAAAAAAACAAAAGCTTGTGGCTTACATGCCAGCACTTTGATTAGTGGCTTTGCTGTGTGTCTCTAAATGTTTCAACGTGCCCTCCCAAGAGTGTAGTTCTGTCTAATTCTGTCATAGCTGCTTAGTCCTAAAACAATATACTGACAAAATAGAAAAAAAGTACTTTTTCTCCCATAATCATGTTATTTTCTAAGCTTTTTAATTTATGTACCTGCATGTACCTAATGCACTTTTTTAAAGTCACAATATAATTACAGGATTACTTTTTTTGGCCAACACACAAGGAATTTGTTTCCGGTACAGAACTGTGGCAGCCTTCTGCGGCGCCAACTCACACCGTTGGCTGTAACCATCGGGGCAACTTGGGATTCAGTGTCTTGCCCAAGGACACTTTGACTTGTGGACTGCAGGCACTGTGATTCAAACCTCAGACCCTCCCGTTGGGAGACGACTGCTCTACCCACTAGCATTAATAACTATCATTATTAATTATCATAGCTATGCATTAAGACCCCTTAATTTTTAACAGTGTGTTTAGATGATGTACAGTACACGCACTAATAAGTTAATAGACATTACGCAATGAAACCCAAATGACAAGACAATGAGAACTGGTTTAATTGTAGAGCATTTTTTACACTGAATGGTGTCATATACTGTACATGATATTTTCCACTTCTGCTTTTAACATATATATATACAGTAAAAATAAAATATAATAATATATAACTTTAAGGGAATACAATGAAACATTGAAACATATTCTTATAACCAGTTTGAAAATAAAAGCACAGTCCTTTCTTGTGACATTAACTTTCATTTCTTCAACAATAATGTATGAAGGCATGCTAAATGAAAGAATGGAGTGTATGCTATAACACTAATGGAAACCAGAACATTTTAGTTTATATACTCTACAATAAACAACAGAAAAGGAAGATTTGACGATAATAACTTGTTCTGCATATTTCTTTAGAAAAGATGATGTGTCAAACAAGGACCAAACAAACAAACAAAAAAACTTTTTGAATGCTGTAAAAAGTCTGCATCTTTTAACATAATAAAATATATCTTTCAGTTCATTTATAAGTTATAATGCTATATTTACACTGATAAAGATTCAGTCCTTATAATTAGCGTGGGTTGAGCCGCTTTGGTGCAGTGGGTCTGTTTGTGTGTTGATCTGTGTTCTGGACAGTGCTGACTTCTCCTGAGCCCACTTCTCCCCCTGAAAATACAAGTGAAGGAATTCATTCATCTTTCAATTCACGCAGCTGTGCAAGCTCCTAAATGACACATCTTTTTAAGACTTAGCCCATTTGGTAGACAGTACCACTAGCCCACTAAAAGGCCTTCAAAAATGTTTATTTTAAGAAGTCTTGCCATTTTTTTTTACCTGCTTGTGGCTCAGACTTGAGCTTGCTGGCAATTTTGGCAAAGAATTTGAGGTTGAGACAAGATCCTGTCTCCCTGTCACAAATGCCTCCTTTGCAGTTGCATGTCTTGCGGCACTCGACCCCATAGGTTCCATACAGGCAATCTATAAAGAAAGAAAACATTACTTAAAAATCTGGAACAAAGCCTATGCAGGGGAAAAGGTTAGGCTACATACTTGGATCTGATATGGGCTCCATTTCTTACTGTAGTTACTGTTACAAATGTTTAGAGTGAGCAAAATGATAATTAGGGTTCAGGAGAAAGGGCGCAAAAATATGCAAGTGGCTGTTGCAGCAGCATTGATTTTTCAGTGTCTAAACTCAAAGCCTCGATAGAAAGATACTAATAAGATTATCTTCAAGTCAAAAAACCAATTGGTCTAGGAAGCCATGATGCACAGGTTTGCACATGTACTTCTACAACCACTGGTTTTATGTCAAGTATGTTGTTGATTCTTATAACATATATTAAGACTATAATAACATAATGAGATGCTGGATTTGGTGCAGCAGAGCATCACTGTATTCAAAATGCAGCATACAAAAAAGCTGCAGCAATATTTTTCATCAGGCTAGATAATGTGAATATACCTTTGCAAATCCCATATTCGTCTCCATAATCGTCTTCGTCCTTGTAGAACTCGCAGAATAATCCTGGTCCGCACTTCACCCCATGCATCCCCGACACTGTGCGGTAACAGTGCTCCCCTCTGCCGGCTGCACAGACCTGGCAACAGCCGCAGTCATCCAGCACGGTCCGTGCGCACCGCTGTGTCCCACCACACCGCTCCGCGTTACATCTGTCGGGGCAGTTCACCGCGTACTTTACATTGGCGCTCCACGCCTCAGCATCTTGCACCATAAGTGAAGAGAGCACTGTGATGAGGAGAAAAGACATCACTGGATGCAACGAGAGTGCGGGGAGCGTGTGGACGGCTGTCGTCTTCGTTCGGGTAGAGACAGAGGAGCAGATCACCTCTGGGAGACTTGACTGGAGTGACCTATGGCTCATCAGGTTGTATGGTTATCAGCAATGAACAACTTTGTTTTGCACATGGCCTGCCTTCGTCAATTTCCTCATTCCGGTGTTGTCGTCCTTTTTGCCAGTCCCTGCCCTTTTTAGAGATCCGGCTTGGATCTATCATCCAGGAACTGAAATCGTGTGACCTGGTGTCATAAGTTATCCTTGGTTTGTTTTTGTGAGTGACAGACGGAACCCCCAAACCTCCGACTGCATCAGGTTTGTCGTGACTGTGTCAGCTCTGAAGAATTCACTTTTATGTAAGGATGCTTTCAGTCACGACATCCCAGGATTGGAAATCACAGTGACAGGATTTAACATCAGATTTTGAGGGAGGATCGTAGCCTAAAGTTGACAGGTGAAAATAAAATGAACAGTTAAAAAAGCACAGGTTACATTTATCTATGACCAATGCAATAGTAAAAAGAATGAACTGACTAAAAAGTAAAACGTCACACAACAGGTTAAACCAAAATTTGTAGTGTTTAAACGTTTCTGTGAAGAGTCTGCACTTGTAGGCTAATTATGCTGATTTAGTTTTATTATTCTGTTCTTAAATGTAACTTGAGTGTAAATGAGTAAAATTATGTAATATGTTTTCATTTTTTTCTCTTTTCACTGAATTGATTGGCAATGAGGGGAAAATATTCGCACAATAAAGATACAAGCAATACAGCACAATTTGATCTACAAATGTGAAGAGAAATACCAGCAACTTAGTATTGCACCTGTATGAAGTTAGATACAGTCAGAACCTAAACTACCATCCGGACTACCCTGACTATTATTCTGTCATGGTCCAGAAACAATGGACCCTATATTTCCCATAATTCAATACTTCACAGAGCTCCATGCTACAGAGGACATTATGCATCAGCTTTCAAAGAACAAGTACAGGAAAAATCTGTGAATTGTCCCTTTAAGTACTGTAGCTCTTTAAAAAAAAGTGCTCTTCATTATAGGTTGCAACTTTAATATTTTCATCCACATAAAAGTGCTGAACAGTCTACTACAAAATGTTTTATCAACCTATCTTATTTTCTTTTAATTGTTTCAATATATATTTGGGGGTAAGGTGTCAAATTTAGGCTCAGCTCTCCATGGACAAGAAAATCATATTGAAGTGTCAAACATGTAGCTCAACACACACTGGACCGTGTTAGGTCGGTGTCCAGTCGGAATATGAAAAAAGTAAACATAAAAGATAGATAAATGAAAACAGGGAGAAGCTGCTGCTGATGACAGTTCCCACTCCGAGACTCAAGGGGGCGTAATAGAGTGATCCCAACACCGATTACCGTCAATGGGTCAAACTCAAGTAAACGAAGAAGAAGTAGAGCGAGGAGAAGGTTCATATATTCGCGTCCGAGGGAGACCTCACTGGGGCAGGACAGGTACAGCAAATCATTTATGGGCGGTGGTTTATTGTCAAGGTAACTTACATGTGTGCGGTCTGTTTTATTGTTATAATACTCAGTTAGTATTCTGTACTACGGTGTTAACGAGCCGCGGGGTGTTTTGCTAAAGCTGCCAGCCGAGGGGCTTGGTCGGTTTTGACAGCAAACTAGCAGCTGCACTGCAGCCAGCGTTAGCCCAGCTGTCACCGCAGATGCAGAATAATGTCACCGGTGTCGGTGAGTGATGCGGAGGAGACTGCGTTTCAAATTCACACATTTCGTTGTTCGTGACGATGTAGCGGATTCAGCTACATGTAAGCGAACTAACGCTAACACCAGAGATGAAACGCACTTAAGGTTCAAGCTTCAGCTACTGACGGACGCTTCAGAGCGACGCCAGACGGCGAGGCGGCACTGAGCCGTTAAATGTAAATTAGTCTAATAATGTTAATCTTTTCGAGTGCAGTTATTAGTATGAATACCCAACTTCGGACAACATGACGTTGCCTATCGACTAACGTATAAAGGTAGCTCACTACTCCCTCCGAAGCTTAAGATGATTAAGTTGCTGTCACATCCTCTGTAGCTGATGTCAGTAGTAAATGTCCTTTGATAGCACCTATCCATTGCTTATATTAGCATGCAGCCACTGTCTAAATGCTTATTGTGGCCCAGCAGTTTCCTCCAGCTTATTCTGCGTGACTTGAAGTAATAGGTTTGCCAAGGGAGTCTCCCATCAGGACCCAGAGAATCACCAAGGAGAGGTGGAGCATCTGTACCAGGTGCTGAACTACCTTGACCTGGTGGAGGATGGATCTGATAGAGGCGTTCTCCTAAACACCTGAGCTCCTCACACTCTTGCTATCCTGCATAAAAAATGTAATCTTGGTCAAAGACAGGTCTAGACAATCTCATTTATTAATGGCTTTATGTGAGGGGTATAAATAGAGAATTATTTTCTTGCCTATTAAGCTTTGTAAATTGAATATTGTTGAGTTTTTGTTGGTTGTATGAGACAAGTAATTTGAAGATATTTCCCTGGTCTCTGGGCATTTATTTAGCATCTTCCAACATTTTACAGACTATATAATAAATCAAAACCTAAATGACAACATTAAATGATAAGGTAAATGCTGGTTGCACCATATTTCAATATTTTTATTTTCAAACTGTAGTTGATTTCTAGTTGATAACATTTTGGAAAAGAGGTACTCTAAAATATCTGACTTTCACATATAGTTCTGTATAAAATGTAAACCAGTTTTACAGTGACTTTCCTTAATATCACTGACATTTACTATTCATCTGATCATACATGATGCTACCTGCATTCAAAGTCGGACTCTGATTTTGCTTTCTGATGTTGGAATGCTATTGGTTTCATCATATACCCCCCTCAACTCCAAATAGTTGTTTGTGCCAAAAATTGCTGGTTGTTGTTTGCTGCAGTAATGGTCATCTGACAGAAGAGCCTGTTACTACATCAATGCTTGCAGTTATTTTTGGCCTTAGTGGAAATGATATAGCCCCACAGACCTCTGCAAGTCAAGAGCGATGAGGCTCCCTGTGACTCTGGACTAGGGTCAAAGAGTCACGCTCACACGTTTAGCAGGCTTCAACTAGCATTCTCTCACTCATTCTGGTTCATGTTTTCCCAGTACAAGTTTTAATCATAGCAAGAGTATCAGCCATGACCCAAGAGCATGGAGAGCTCTATTCTACAACTCAACAGCTGATTTACCAGTTACTCTACCCTCAGTCTTGTGTGTTGCTTACCAGGAAAGAAATCCTGGGGTCGCACATATTATATAAATATAACAAAGCCATAGTTTTGCGTTATGCTTGATATATATTAAAAATTCTTTCTTGTACTAGCCTAGTGGTCATCAAATCTGTTTTTATATACAGGGTTAGACTTGGTATGGTGACTGTCCTTTAATGTCAAGGGATGGAAATGTTCTGTCAGCTGATATTCTCATGACATTACCCACCAAGCCACGAGTGCTGACATGTTGTGTCTCTCATGTTTTAACCTCCACTCTTTTCAGGGGTTGAGTCAGGTTGACAAACCTGCATACAAAAATAAAATATTTTACTTCTTAGTTCCAGGAAAGCTGTTCCTTTGGAGATCCAGAAATTCCACTCAACAGCAACATCAGACTTGCTCTTATTTGTTTGATAAACAGACAAAAAATGCAGACAGACTTGGGGTTAAGTGGAGCCCCAGGGATCACTGCATGGCATTTTATGTCCGAGTGTCAGATAACAGAGACAACTGCATTATGACTAAGAAAGATAATATAAATGAATGGACAGGAATCTAATTTGTATCACCTGTGCACTTAATCTATCAAAGCAGTTATCATGCACTGACAATATTATTAAACGGATACTTCAAAATGAAGATGACTGGAATATATCCTTTTATAATATGCAGCATAGCAGCTTGTGAGACAAACATCCCTTCATTAGTGTGGGCGTGTTTGTTAGAAGAAATCAAAGGGTGAACTGACCTATTGCAGTGATACCCACTGCACTGGGCATATGCCTAGATATCCTGTATGCTGGAGAACTGCCAACATTAAGGAGAAACCTGACACCTTTACAGGGATTTTACTTGGCAGGGAAATGTATTAGAACATTGGCTTATAGCTTCAGATGTTGCCTGTAAATTGATGACTGAGATGAAAAGTATCATTTCAATATGTTGATTAAGTGTGAGGGAGTGATTTGTGTGAGTTTTATAAACCTGCCAATATACAGGCCTCATTAGTTTTTCTTAATTAACTATGTTTTTCAGGTATACAGCAGAGTATAGATAATGCTCAGACATGGTGCCTTGTCAGACCCATGTGTTGCTGAAGTGGCAGGAGCACTTCAATAGCTCCTGGGCAGCAGAAGATAGTGTGCAGACAACCAGGAGGCAAGGTGCTGCTGAGCTCTACAATAAGCTCCTTCATTACAAGGAAGTGGTCACTCTGGCCCAGCCTGTTCAGGAGCTAGTGGGCCCACGCCTGCCAGACTTTGAGTGCGAGTCCAGTGCCTCAGCAGAGAAGGAAGAGTACCTGTCATCCCTGCTTCACAGCCAGCGATGGCTGGCTCACCGCATGCTGACACAAACCTCCTACACCTTGGGCCTCCATCACAGGCTGGTAGTTCTCCAGAGGATCTACTACGCACTTCACAGCAAATACCATGACAAGTTCCGCATGCAGCTGCCGTCCCAGTCCACAGACAGTGGGACTGAATGTGGGCAGCTTGAGCTGGCCTCCGAGCCTTGCCTACCAGGGGGATTATCCAAAGTCAAGTCGGGTACAGATGTTCTGATAGAGATGGGTGTGAGGACTGGTTTGAGTTTGCTCTTCTCATTACTGCAACAGAACTGGAGATACACAGCTTCTGTGCATCCTGAGTCGGTGCTTTGCAATGACGTGCTTGCCACGGCGTCCTCGGTGCTGACTTCGCTACCACCACTTTCTCTGGCCAATGAGAATAAGATCCCATCAGTGGGGCTGGACTGTCTTGCACAGGTGGCTGACTTCCTGAAGAAGACCTCAGTGAGCAGTGGGACTGGTGGTCCAGACCCCACTGGTAGAAAGCTAGCGCTGGAGCTGCTGCTTGGACTGGCCATGCAGAGAGGTTCTCTGAAGTTTCTGCTGGAGTGGGTGGAAGTGGCTTTGGCTGCTTCCATGTCCTCCTGCTAATCAACACTGTCTTCCTCCTCCTCCTCCCCAAGCACCCAGCAGCCAGCTGTTGTGGGTTTTGATGTCATCCATCAAACACTTTTCCAAATGAGGCAATATTTGGTAAGTTGCATGTTTACCCAATTTGGACATTTATTAGTTTCTATTCAGCCATAACTGTTACCGCTAACACCTCTGGTGTCTGTGGTACCTCATAGATTATTGGCAGCATTTACAATTTGGCCATAACATAATTGCTGTGGACCTATTCAAATAGTCTCATTTGAAACTTGGGAATGATGCATTAGTGTACATATAAGGGTTAAGACTGAGTCAGTCTTCCTGTCTCTACATACAGTATGCATGTTGAGTCATCCCTTAGCACCCATGCGTCAAACTCAAGGCCCGTGGGCGACATCCGGCGCGGTGTACAATTACATCCGGCCTGTGAGATCATTTTATATATATTTTTTTAATGGTCCGGCGATATGAAGCGCTGATAACACACAAACTACAGATCCCATAATGCAGTGCAACAGCTGCCTTACCGAATGATAGGCAACCTGTGATCATTCCCATGTCAATCATCATCAACTTTATTTATATAGCACATTTAACACAGCAACAGCTGACCAAAGTGCTTAACACAAAAACACAATAATAAAACAAAATTACAATTAAACAACCACCCATCATAAAACAAAAATCCTAAACAAAACAAAGCCTCATACCGGTTCAAATGCCAGATGAGTTTTCAAATACACTTTAAAAATGCACAACAAGGGGGCCTGCCTGATATATAGTGGGTACGGAAAGTATTCAGACCCCCTTAAATTTTTCACTCTTTGTTATATTGCAGCCATATGCTAAAATCATTTAAGTTCATTTTTTCCTCATTAATGTACACACAGCACCCCATATTGACAGAAAAACA